TTTTAAATAGCAGTAGCAATATGCACACTATTACTTACTGTGAAAGCTTCAGACATTTAGCATAGGATAGTTTTACGATAAAAATAACTTTTAAACTTTGATGGACAAAGACATTAATAAAATACTAAAAATATCTTCCTGTAGAGAACATAAATGTTATTTATCCATCCTGTGTCCAAACCACACGATGCCCATGTGCTTCAGAGCTAGACATTTTCAATCTATATTTCAAATTGATATACAGGCTACAGGAGATTGCTGGGGTGACAGGGATCCAAGATGATTCTGATATGGAGAAAAGACCAGGAGAGAGCCTGTCCTGCCTCCAGCCAGGCAACACCCACTGCAGGCACACAGCAAACACTGCTGGCAGGGAAAGGGGCACAGTGCCAGGGAGATAAACAATTTCCAAAACAAGCAAACCCATTGAGAGCACAGAAAATGATGTTCTAGGCAGCAAATGGCACCTGTAAAACAGGGGCACTGCAGACTCAGAGTGCTGCAGTGTTCCTGTACTGAATGCCAGGACAGCTCCTCGTCCTGCCCTGACACTCCTCAGAGGAAAGGCTTCTAAACAGGCCAAGTCAGGGTGCAGAAAAATTGGTTTTGAGAACATTCTTGTTGGCCAAAGTCATTAAAGCTGCAAAAAGCCTGCCAGTACAGCCTCTGTCAAACAGCTGCAGGAGCACTTCCTTCAGTACAGCACAGAAGAATTGAGATTGCAGCCTCCCATCCCACAGCAGGCTGGCACTGCAGGAGCTCTGCTCCGGCCTGGAGGTACCTGGGCAGGCAAGGCAGGTGTGTCAGAGCTGAGGAACAGGTTCTGCCCTGTGCCAATGCTCCTGCAGCCACGGGAATCCCTCAGCATCCCCAGGACAGGACACGGAGCTCTGCAGCTGCCGCCTGCTTACCCAAACACCCGGGGAAACCTCACTCCCAAAAAATGCTGCTCCTCAAAGATTCCAGAGGCTGGAAGGTGCCCAGGAGGATGGGAGGAATTTGATTTCCTGATTCAAAGAAAAATCATCTCAACAATTGCACTCCAGGGCAGAGCAGAAGGCCCTGCTAACCTGGCCCATGTGAGCTGGCTGCCCATGCAGCTATCCCTGCAGGGAGCACAGCCCAGCCAGGGCTGGAAACACAAACACCTCTCCTTGTCATCTGCAGGAGACAGAGGGTAAAAGGTGCTCTGAGAAAACACCTCCTCTGCACTGGCAGTTCACTTCCCTGGCAGGGAGGGATGCAGGGAGGGATGCAGGGAGATCATTCTCCTTCCCAGGCCTGCCTCACGCCCACCCCAGGGTGGCTGAGTTACAAAATGTCCCATTTGTGATGAATTTCTGCCTCCTGGTTTCCCTGTGCCTCTCTGTTGTGCACAGGAGCGTTTTAATGTGTGCAATCCTTAAATGTCAGTGTAATGGGAAGCAGATGAGTCTTTTATGACAGCAATTTTTCTTTCATTTTTCCTGCTAAAACTATGCAGCGGGAATAAAGAAAGATTTAGATGGTGAGAAGTGTGGTTTAGATCAGACATGACAATAATTCTGCCTTTAGCCAGGCGAGGCACACCAGTGCAATAAAGCACCAGCCTCCTTTCAGAGCTCTCTGATGCACACTGAACTCGTGGAGCTGAGGAGAACTCCTCCTTAGTGTTGTGCAGCCCTTCTGCTAATCAGGATTTGTTCTGGACTCACTTTGGGCTGCTGGAGCTGTCCCAGCTCTGCTGGAGCTCTCTGCACAGGACCCCAGAGCTGAGGGAGCCTGCCTGCCCCACATCCCAGGCTGAGCACACAGAGCAAAACCCAGCCAGTGAAACCACCCAGCAATCACCCTTAGCTCTTCACGTGCCCAGAAAGAAATCTGGCATGAGATTACAACTCTTGAGAAGGAGCAGACAGGAGCTTTGTCCATGCACTGCACGAGGGAGAACCTGCTGACAGCCCCAGCCTGGCAAAATCTCCCCTGTTCCTCTGCCCAGTCTGCTCAAGAGAGCTCAGGGACCCCTGCAGGAGCTTGGATTGACCCCCAGCTAATCTCTAACCTAGCTGGAATTAAAAACCTGCCCAGAACTGAGCAAATCAGCATCAATCCTCCAGACTCTGAGGGAGAACAGGACTCCTAATTTTTCTGACTCCTAATAATCTGAAGGTGGCTGATAAAAAAGAAGTCAGGAAGTTGAATAGCTGATCTGTTCAACACAGCATATTTTTAATTTCCCCTGCCTTGTTTGTGACTAAGATCTTTACCATGCTGAGCCACCTAACTGCAGCATTATTCACATGCACAATTGGAACAAAGCAGCCAACAGTTCGAAGTAATTCCGTATAAAGCCAGAACAAATTGTATCATTTGCAATGCAAATGTGATTTCAAGCTTCATTAACATCTTCTTTAGGGCCTGGTGCCTGAGTAGCAGGACAGTGATGCTTCCCCAGCTCCCAGACATGTGCCAAGCACCCTGCCACCCCTCAGCTCCTTCTGCTGGGGAAGGAAACAGCAACACAACAAGCAACAAAAGCCACAGCAGGAACAGAACTTGCTCTGCTCCAGTTTGGGGGGTTAACTTTCATTTTAGTGGAGTAAATTCCTGGTGTACCCAAACATTGCCATTTCTTCTGCCTTGGCTTTAAATAACTTCAGATCACAGCAGGGATGAAAATGGGAATTAATTTCCTCAAAAACAACCCAGACCCCTGTGAGCTTCCTTTTACTCTCAGGACCGAAAATGAAATCAGATTGTGAGATAAAACCTTCCTACAAATGGAGATGTGAGATAAGAGCCCCAGGATTTGGCTCTTCTGCTTCCTCCTGGTGCTTCCAGCAGACCCCAAATCCTGCCCCATCCCGTGGGAGAGCAGCAGTGAACGGGGAGGGTGCAACACCCAATTTTATGGCAGGAATAAGCTGTGCCATGGCAGGCTCACAGCCCCAGCCCCCTCAGAGCACACAGGTGAGCCCAGGGCAGGACCCTGCTGGCTGTGCACTGTTTAATATTGTGGTGGTAAATTACATTTAATGGAAGATATGGGAGCAAACACTAATGGACAGTTTGGACACAAAGCATTAGGGAGATTTAAAGGCTGCTCACAGAGGAAATTCCACTGGTTGAGTTGGTTTGTGGATTCAAGCTGATGCAATTACACCAGAGCAGCTTTTCCTGGGGGTAACTGAGGTATAAACCCGGTGTAATTGGGATATTTTCATGCACTTCTTAAACTTTGTTGGCATAACTGGAGAAGCCTTCCCTTGCAATCAAACCCCAAGGGAGGCTGAGTGGGGTTGGGGAATGCCAGATTCTGATGGAGTGGCCACGAGGGGTCCTGCTCAACTCAAAATGTTCTGCACCTCCCTCAGCTCAATGTGACAGAATGCAAATGCAAACATGCACACAGGCTGGATACAGAGATGCAGGCTAAATTTAGGGAATGCAAATACTCCTCTGATTCATCTGCCCGAGGAGTGCCAGTGCAGGGATAAATCAGAGAATTGGCTCAGGCCACAGCAGCTCTGGGTTAGCCCAAACACCGCCCGTGCCCAGCCCAGCAGCTGAATGAATCCCTGATCCAGCCAGGCTCTGCTCTCTCGGGGCAGAGCTCAATTCCTGCTGTGTTCTGTGCTCTGCCAGGCTCTTCCCTGGGCTCTGGCACCCTCTGAAGGCTCCCCAGGGCTGGGAGCTCTGTGTGTCAGGAGCCAGAGGGGCACAGGGGGCCTGGGGGCAGCAGGATGGTGCCAGCAGCTGCCCAGGTAAGGCAGAGAGCACCTGCAGGGAGGCTGAAGCACCCCCATAAAATGTTGGTTTCACAGCTCACCAGGAGCTCTTCTGGGAGAACAAAATCCTGACTGAGGAAATAAACCCCCCCAAAAAAGTTTATATGCATGGATAGATGCATATTTTTGTGTGTTGTGCTCAGAGCAGCAGGGCTGGAGCTGAGTGTCCCCTTGAGCCATCCCCTTTTCCAAGAAGTGACCCCTGGTTGTTTTCTCACGTGGAAGAGCGTGGGAAGGCTGTGGGGATCGAGTGGCAGGGCCCCGGTGTGAGGCTGCTGTGGAGGCACAGCAGGCACTGCTCCCTCCCAGCCCACCTGGAGCCCTGGCAGGTAGAGCAGAGCAGCCTTGCCCAGCCCCTGGTTGGCACCTTGAGCCATCTCTCTGTATTTGCTGACTCTGGGGAGCTGCAGGTGCAGCTGGGAACCAGCTGGGAGGAAAATAAACTCCTCATTCCCCACCTGAGGCTCCACCTGTACCTTCTCACTGGACAGGTCCCCTCTAAATCAACACCAGCCCTTCCCAAATGCACGCATGCCATTGCTCTAAAATCTTCCATAATCGCATCTTGTGAACAAACATGAGTCATGAAGAAAATTCTGAAAGCAAAAAAGGATTCAAAATTAATCTACGTAATCATCACATTACCCTCAGTGCTGTCTAAATCCTTCCTGTAACTCACTTTGGCATTTTACTGATGAAGATAAGGGACAGAAAGAGTGCAAGTGGCCAAGCTGCCTCGGGCTGTGGGGAGATGATGGAAGGAGAAAAACAAACCATTACTGAGGGTCAGCTGGAAAGGGTCCAGCAGGGCAGGGAGAGGTGGAGAAGCCAGGGGAAATGGAATCCCCTTTTTCCCTCCAGGAAATGTGTGAAGCTGAAGCACCCAGAGCCGGGTCTGCAGGAGGTGAGGCTGGAGGAACCCAGAGCTCTGCCCCTGACATTTTCCTGTCCTTTGTCTGACCAAGCAAAGCCAGGCTGTGCAGGCAGGAGGCGAGGAAAGGATGGGGAGTTAAGCTGGCAGCACAGCCCCAGAGCTGGAGCTGAGGGGGTGCAAGGCCTGCAGTGGGGAGGGGAGAAATGTGGGGTTGAGGGGCTGCTGGGGCAGCACAGACCCCTGGCAGTGCTGTGTGACACAAACACCGTCCCTCATCCCTCCCTTCCCACTCCCACAAAGTGTCAGCGAGCACACTCCAGTCTCCACAGAGTCCCACGGAAACAGGTCACCACTTCTTGTCAGATCATACCTAAAAGGCATTATACATATATTTATTTCCATCTGTTTTATAGCCTTCATCACCATAGTAACTTCTCCTCCCGTCAGTGCTGCACGGTATCTTCCTCAGGAGAGCTAAAATCCACTTTCCCTTATCAGCACTAAGGTTAGTGCCCCGTTTTCACCAGGGATTTTGGGAGCACATCCTGGGCTTGCCAGGCTCTGTGCTGCCTGCTGATGGCCTGGGGCAGCGAGAGGCAGCTCTCCCCCAGCACAGCATCAGAAATGAGGCTGCACTGGAGCACAGAAAGAGCATTATTAATCCTTGCATTCAGTTCCATCTCATGCCAAATCAGCTGCTCTGGATATTGGGTTCTTTTCTGATGCATAAACTTTAAAAAAAAAAAGAAAAAAAAGAAAGGCAAGATAGAGAATATGAGTCCAAAAAGAGGCTGCAGGCACCAGTTGCTGCATATAATCACTGAAAGCTGTAGCACTGTGAATATATTTCTGGTTATGTTTCAGTTTTTCATTATTAAAAATGGGCTGCAGTTGATTCATAGTTTTGCTGCAATCAGCTGAAACCCAATTACCATCACAGCACAAACCACTTCTGAGGCAGCCTGAGAGGCTGCCAGGGAGAGAGAGGCACCACCGAATTCCCAGAGCACTCCCTCTCCCCAGGGGCAAAGAGCTCATTTGGTTGGGAATTTTCTACAGGGGAAAATCTGCATTGCCTGGGCTGCTCCAAGGAGCTGGATTTTTCCTTCCCAGAGCTGGATTTTTCCTTCCCAGAGCTGGATTTTTCCTTCCCAGAGGAGCTGGCCCCTGAGCATCCCAGCATCACCAGAGACTGGTCCTTCCCTGGCCGGAGCGGCCTTTGCTGGGCTCCTGCAGAGCCTCCCACGGCCCTGCCCGCTCCCCCCGGACCAAATCCTGCCCTCTCCTGCTTTCCCCTCCTCTCTCAAGCCAAACCTGCTCTCAGGAGCTCACCAATTTCATTAAAACACCGAGGGGTATCAGCAGGGTGGGAGCAAGGTCTGTGTTTTTGCCAGACGCTCAGCAGCAGCAGCAGGAGCAATAATGGCTCGTCACTCTGCCCATCCCTCTCCCCTTCCTTCCCTCCCTCCAACCTGTCACTTTGCTTTGGGATTGCCCACGCAGAGAGCCAGGAAATTACTGCCATTCCCCCGAATATTAGCCGATTCATCCGTGCTTGTACCTCTGATGGATCCTTCCTACACAATTACAGCCCAAAGGCTGTTGGTAAAGTTGTAAAAAGAGTGTGGCAAGAATCCACAAATCATTACACCACTCCAGTGTTCCACCTCTAATTAGAGGCAATTTGCATCTGCTACATGTGCACAGTGGTGCCAGAACACAGCTCAGGCTGAGAGAAGACAGATGTGAGCATCACTTCAAGGTGCTGCAGGGGGAAGAGGGGAGGGCAGGGATGGGCCAGGAGAGAAACAGAGCCCCACTCCACGTTCCTGTCCTTCAGAGCTTGGCAGTGAAGTCACATCTCCATTGGCAACATCACAATCGTCTCCACAGCAACAAATGTGATGCTGCAGATCGCTGAAATGTCTATTTTTGAAAAGGTAGGAGGAGAACACAAATGTGGAGCATGTAGGGGTTGAACAGCCACACAAACCTAATGACTATAATGGGAGGTGCACAAAAATACTGAGACAGGAGCTGAGCAAAATCACCCTCTGAAAATTTCCTCCTGGACCCCTCTGGGCATCTCATGGGCAAAGAGAGCAGAGATGTCCCAGGGGCAGCCAAATTCCCCCTGTGCCCACGGTGTCCCTGTCTCTCTGCTGGATGTTCCCAGTGCCACAGAGCAGGAGAGGAGCCAGGATCCCTGGGTGACCCTCGGGCTGACAGGGACCAGCTGAGAAAAGGACAAGCCAAGGGTCTGAACCAGGTTAAAGTGCCTGAGAACAAGGACCTAAAAGGGATTTGCATCCATAAAACATAAAGGGATTAAACAAAGGGAAATTTGTTTTCCAAGTCTAATCTAGATGCAGCCAAAGGCTGTAAGCAGCACTGCCCTCAGCCTCCTTCAGCTGCTGCTAAAACTTCTAGGAAGTTTCTGCTGTGATTTGTGCCATCCAAGGTTAAAAAACGCCTTCAGGTTAACAGTTCTTGGAAATGTTTCTGACATTTTGGACAGAATCTTAAAGAGCTCTCCAAATGCAGGGGGGCGTGAATCCAGAATGTCTTTGACAGGCCTGGTGCTAAACCTTGCTGCTCAGGTCAGGGCTGTCCAGGGATCCCAGCAGCTCCTCAGCAGAGAGGAACATTCCAGAGGAAAGAGAAGAGCCCTTCTCTCCAGCCTGGAGGAAATGGGCTCCTTCCAATGGTCACTCAGGCTGTGGTGGGACAGAATTAGTTCTTCATTTCTGAGCTCTCCTGAAAAGCCAGTTCCTCAGGAGATGCAGGAGGGGGAGGTGGATGCTCTGTGCTCCCCTCTGCCATTCCTGGGCTCAGAACTCCAACACCCTCAGGGAGGGATTGCTGGGGTCTGTGCAGGGCCAGGCTGGGATCAGTGAACCCCTGGGTCCCTTCCAGCCAGCGGATTCTGGGAATCTGGGTATTTACCAGGGCCCTCCATGCCTGGAAAATGAGAGTGTGGGGTGAGAGCACACAAATGGACAGACCTGTGATGCCTCTAAATCCCCCCCAGCACATTCCAGCCATCACTGCTGCTCCCTGCCTTTGCAAATTGTAATCAGATTTATGCAAAACAGAACCCTGAGAAGATGAAAAAGCTGTGTTTAAACTTCATATAGGAAGTACAGTGCAGTAAATATTTTTAATTGGTGCTGTGAGTTATGCTTTATGCTGCTTTGGCTGTGCCCTGCCACGGCTGGTGATCAGTAGTTTATCACTGGGGCTGGCTGCTGCTTCCCACTGAACTCACACTAACAAGGACCAGGATATGAGAGCACCATAAATAGTGGAGAATAAATGGGAATACTTTTCTCTCCACAAATAATATATCTTCCTTAAAAATGAGTCTCTCTGCTCTGGCATGACAACAGAATTGGATTGCCTTCGGTCTATTTGGGAAAAAAACCCCAACTCTCAGAAAATGCCAATTCCTCAAAACCTGAGCAACAGATCAATTTTTGAAAAGGGATCATCTGGAAACATTTTAGACCCTGGGAGGACTTTCAGAGAATTAAAGGCTTGTGCCATGTCTGCTCTGCTGCCCAGGAGTGTGTGGACACACATCCAGACCCCTTTTCCCTCTGGAGCAGCCTGGAGGGTGCTCACACCCTGGGAAAAGCCTTTTGCAGGGCAGCTGGGTCTCCCTCAAGGCTTTGCAAGGCTCCAGCCTCACCTCCAGCACAGCTCAAACACTTCCTATGCCGCAGCAAAAATATTTTTTTGGGATGGGAAATCAATTTCCTTCCCAACTCCATTTTTAAACAGCAAGTCAGAACAAACCCACCTACTGTTTCCTCCATGCTCTTAGAGACTTCTCTTCCCCTGCATCGTGTAAAGGCTGCAGTTCAGAGCTGAGCAAGAAGTGAGATGCACCAAGGGGTGGCACAGAACTGCTCTGCTCTCTCAGCTGTGCCTGCACGGGGAGAGCAAAACCACCCCAGCCCCTCACAGAGAGCCCCCAGCAGCATTAACCCCCCCAAACCCAAACCCAAACCCAGGGACACTCCATGGGGGCCTGGCAGTGCCCCCTGAGCCCCTCAGGGCTGATCTCTGCACCCAGAGCTGTGCAGCACATTCTGCAAAACCTGCAAACACGAAGGTGGCATCACCCCCTCAGCCAGCCCAGGGTGCAAGGAGATGCTCCCTTCCTGACAACAGATATTTACAGATCCACATCCCTCCTGGAGACATTATTTTATCTCTGATTTTTATATTGATAACAGAACATTAGCATGCACAAGTGCAATTAATATTTTATTATTTTCCTATCTCATAAATATAGAAATTTAAATCACCAAGGAATTAGAGGAATGAAAGGAGCATTATGTTTAAGCAGCCACATAATGTGGTTGGCATCATGTAATGGGATGTGTTTAATGCAGTTTTACACAGCAGCCTTTCATCATTTACATTTGCCTCTGGCTTAATAAACTGTGCCATTCTGTTTAGGTTTGTTACAGTTGGATGTAAATGTTTGCCAGGCAGCATCCCCATGAATCACACCTGGAACAGGGAAATTGGCAATCTGCATTTCCAAACATCACTTCCACGCTTCTGCCCCTCAGCCTTCAGGGTTAGGATTGTATTTAGGAGTGTGCCAAGGGCTTCAGTGGGGATGGGCAGGCAGGAGAGCAGAGTGGGAACTGCTGGGGGCTTCAGGCTCCCCCTGGACACAGGAGCCATCGTGCAGGGGAGGTCCCAGGGGCTCTGACACCAGTGCTGTGGTCACTAAAACATCCAAGCTTTAGTGCAAAACATGCTCATCTCTAAAGATAACGAAGTCAAAGCCTCCAGCAGAGCTGGGACTCACCCCCAGCTCTGTGAGGATTTGAGCCAAGAGCAGAGATGGCTGAGCTGGAGGTTTGTGTCCCAGGGAACCCTTCCCTCCGGGCAGGAGGATCCTGCAGGGCTGAGCAAACCCCAGAGGCACAGAGCAGTGTCCAGCAGAGCAGCTCCTCCTGGAGAGCAGCAGCAGCTCAGCCCACGCTCAGCTCTCTTGACTCACTGTGTATTTTTAAGTCTACAACCAGGGAGGATTTCGCAAGACAGGAATTTGCTGTACATATTAGGAAGCTGTCAAGGAACAGCCACCTTCACACGGCAGCTGTCCTTTGGGATGCTGGGGCTGCAGAAGTGACAGAGCTGGGAGCAGGGAGCATGGAAATGCCATGCCCATTCCTGACCATTCCTGACCATTCCTGACCATCGCCAACTATTCCTGACCATCTCCAACCATTCCCAACCATTCCTGACCATTCCTGACCATTCCCAACCATTCCCAAACATTCCTGACCATTCCCAACCATTCCTGACCATTCCCGACCATTCCCAACCATTCCTGACCATCTCCAACCATTCCTGACCATTCCCAACCATTCCTGACCATCTCCAACCATTCCTGATCATTCCTGACCATTCCCGACCATTCCTGACCATTCCTGATCATTCCTGACCATTCCTGACCATCTCCAACCATTCCTGACCATTCCCAACCATTCCTGACCATCTCCAACCATTCCCAACCATTCCTGACCATTCCCGACCATTCCTGACCATTCCTGATCATTCCTGACCATTCCCAACCATTCCTGACCATCTTCAACCATTCCAAAACCATTCCTGACTATTCCAACCATTCCCAACCATTCCTGACCATTCCCAAACATTCCTGACCATTCCCACCATTCCTGACCATTCCCACCATTCCTGACCATTCCAAAACCATTCCTGAACATTCCCACCGTTCCCAGGCCTGGGCTCCGGGGTGCCCAGCACAGGAGCCCGGATTTGGTGCCCAGGGACAGCAGGAAAAGGGCAGGAGCCTGGAGCTTCCCACCTGGAGAGCTGGCAGGGAGGGAGGTGTTGGCACCACCCTGGAGCCCAGGGAAGCTCCATGAGGAACAGGCAGGGCCAGGGCTCTTCCCAGGGGCATCACCAGTGATGGGGCAGAGAGCACCAAACAAACACAGCTTTTCCTGGTCTCCAAGGGAGGAAAAGACATCTGCAGGCATTTCTCTGCCCCAGTCTGGCTCCTCTGCTCCTCCAGACCACGAGGGGCTTCAAGGAGCACCAGCAGCTTTGGGCCCAGCAGGGAGCTGGGCAGCTCCAGCTCCCTGGGAGCCCTGAGCAGCAGCAGAGCTCAGACACAAACCCCAGCTCCAGCAGGGCATGGGGAACAGGACCCAGACCTGCCCACAGCAGGCACTGACACTCAGAAATGAAGACAGATGCCTCGAAAAACTCTGTTTTCCAGTGTAAACGGGAGGCCAAGAGCATACAGGGAGTATTGGGTTTAGTATCCAATAAAACAAGAATAAATTTTATAGGGATTTCTTTAAAAATCACCTTTCACAGGCATTTTTATGCCTTTCACAGGCAGAGTTTCTGATGTAGTGAGGTTCACTTTAGGAGCTTGCGAGTACAGAGATCTCTGATCTCTTTCATCTTTTTTCATTAAAAATCAGTGGTTGTGCAGGGTTGCAAGTTCTCCAAGATTTTATTAAATTGGGCAACGCCAGAGGAGAAATAACAAATAATGTTCACAAGGATAAATTTGTGCTCTCATTATAAACTTCACACTCTCCTCTCAATGCTGGGTTTTCATTCTGCCCCTCTGGCACTTTCTGGCTCCTGTTCATTTTGATCTTCTTAGTCTTAATTTAAATCTAGATGCAGTGTAATCTTTGTTATACCCTATCACATACAAATCTTGTTTGGGAGATGCTTTTTTTTTCTTTAATGGGCATGCCCAGGCATGGCTTTCATAAAATTCTGCCTAAAATGTTCTTCATACTTAAACAAC